GAAATTCCATGTTAAGAACTTAAAAAGTGCCATCTATCTGTCCAGTAGAGCTTTTTTGTTTGTTTTTGTTTTTGTTTTTTTGTGTGTTTTTTGCACCCCTCATTCCTTCTAAGTTGGGATTCCGATTCACTTTATGAGCTGGAAAACCTTTCCGGCGTTATTAAAGTGTGCAGTTTCATGAGTGTGATGACATGCAAATCATTTTGATGACCTCAGACACTGTAGCCACTCTCAACCAATCACACACTGTCATCACAGCTCTGATAGTGTTTAAAGATTATGATACAGATGCATTTTTTACAGTGTATGTATGATTTGCTGAAATAAAAGCTATATTGACCAATGTCTGTGTCATCACAGGTGTTACTTGGAGAACAGACATGAATACATGCAGTAAACTCTTGTTCCCCATGTGACCTATGTTTCTGTTCTCTCTTTTCGTACTCAAATTTAGGAAAAGACAGAAGTGTTGCTGAAGTTTGTGTACTGTAAAGCTGGAGGATGTTTCATTTTGTGAGAACTGAGAGCACACATCACAAGTCTATTAGTATGACCAGTTTTAAGATGTGCAGACTTTGTTAAGGGATGTGATGATTTGTCGGTATGAAATGATGTAAGTGAAAGCGTTTATGCGTGACAGAAATGTGAAAGGAGAGAAAGATGACAGTGCCCAGGAGTGACAAACTCAGAGTTCTGTGTGCTTGAACATTACTGCATTATGTAGGAGGAAAAACAGGTGAATATTTTATGAGTCACATCGCACCCGCACCGGACGCATATGCACACATAGAACACATACAAGTAAACGTAGGCATGTGGAGAGCAAAATAAGTGAAATACTACAACAAAAATATTTGTCGACCTGGAAAAGTTTGTTTCCCTGTTTTTCTGAGAGTAATGTGATTGTGTTTTATTCAACGCAGCTCGGGGTAAGCAGGCTGCAAGAATTCACACAATGGATAAATGTGTGTGTGTGTTCGTGTGTGTGTGTGTGTGTGTGTTGGCAACAGGAGCTGTCAGTGGTTCCAGATAGGGAAGTCACTGGGTAAATATCAAATGTTCATTTTCACACACTTTCCCTCAGCCTTTATGTGCTGACGATAGAAATGTGGAGGAGATACCATCTCTGCGGCTCATTTCCACACGCTGGAGCCTGTTGTTGGAGACAGTTCAACAATAAAAAGCGATCTGCCCGCGTACAGGGAGACAGAATGACTGAGAGCTAATGGGAAATGCCTCAAATTGCAGGAAGCACTTTTGATGTTCAGGAAATCAGGTTTCTTGGATAAGCAATTCTCTGTGACGCAGGTTTTTTGTTTTTTGTTTTTTTTTGGTGATTATTTTAGCACTTCTACAGTCTGGTGCATGATAGCTGTTGTTTTAAGGTGCCACCACCTATTAGATTTGTGTTATTTGGGTATTTGACCATGCCAGTGGCTGCATCTTTTCTCCACGGTGACCTACTGCTCAAATGTCTGCAGAGTAACTGAAGCTCAAAGCTTAAAGATGACAGATGATGATGCAGTTTAGGAAAAGGATTGAGATTCTTTTTGTATATAGCTAACAGGCAATACATGTATCATTGTCCAATTTCCACTGAAATTTGCAGTTTAGGCATTCAAATCAAAGTCAGTGATTCCATATTGTACTTTTTCGAGTTGGAGGACTCACATGAGACTGTGTTGTTTTGTTTTTTCTGGTGTAGCAATTTCCCTGAGGTTCAAGGGATCAATAAAGTTTTAGTTTTATTCTAATTCTAATTCTAGACAGATTTATACATTAAAGGATCAGTCCGATTCAAAGCAGCCAACATGGAGACACCCTGACTAGTATAGGTCGAGCTTAAACATCTTAAGTGCCAAAACGTTTTGCATAACACTCTATACATGAATATAAATAATAAAACACAGTGGTTACATGTGGTCATGATTGCCTGTTCTCGTCAGTGGCCTGACAATGCTTATGGGTGTGTTCGCTTCCTCCGATAATTGTGATCCCCACCATTGTTTTCTGTAGTTTTTTTGTTTTTTTTTCTGTACTACAGCTGTATTGCGAGCCCCTTTCATTGTTCTGGTTTGTGTACTATAGGCACAATTGAAAACGCCTGACTTGAGCTTTCAGGGCAGGCTGCTGAGGAGGCAGTACGGCTCACCTTAATAGGTAAGTCACTGTTTGTCAATACATTCTCTGGCAAACACACACACACACATTTACAGCCAGCTCAAGTTACTGTGCCTGAGTCAGCGCAAACAATACGTGTCCATGTAGGAGGAGGACAGAGCAGGTTTAATGGTTGTTAACTATTTACCATTTGAATGAGAGCCTGACAGATTTTCAGTAAAGAATCAATTAATTATTTGCCACTCGGCCAATTCAGGGAACTTTAGAGGTGAGCTTTTTCTAAATAAATCAATAAAATGTGCATATATTTAAGAGTATGTTGAGAAAGAGGTTTGAAATATATTAAAAAGAGCTTTAACATAGATGGAATGTACATTTAACTGCATGTACAAATGACGCTAATAAATAATCACAGATTTTAAAAATAGTCCATTGATTCTACTATACTAGAATTAAAAAAAAAAAAAAATCTAATTTCTATGGTCGTATTTGTAAAGTGTGCTTCAGTGGGTGGCTCTCACTGGAAGAGAAAAGTGATGGATTTGGGTCAATAAACTCCAGCCTAAAGTCATCCTGCTTTGTTTACTATGACTCACATTGTTATCAGAATTATTCAAAAACAATCAAATTACACACACAAACATATTCAGGCTGTCAAATCTGTTCTCATCTTTGTCCGTCCAGTGACGAGGGGATTCCAGGAATGGTTAGTGAGCTGTAAGTATTACAGAAATCACTTGAGTGTGACTCACCAGCAGCCATCGAGCTGTTTTCCTCCGGTGTTTTATGGAGGTGGACAGCAGTGCGCAGAGAGAGCTTTCCCATCAATAACTTCTAACTGCTTAGTGGTTTGATTCTTGGATGTTCAACGCAGGATTGGAGGGTTTGAGGCAGTAATCTATACGTCGATACGCTGAGGAGACACTCTCAGGAAAGCAGATTCATGGCAGGACAGTCTGTCTCCATGGTGATCACAGACACTACGATGCTACAAAGTGTTACATTAATTTGTCAATAAAATCTAAATATATGGAGAGAAAATTATTTTCTATAGATTAAATATTTTAGAATATATTTTCATGTTTACTGTGTACAAACAATACTTGTCTTAATGACAACATACATTTAAGACACATTTAAAATGTGTTTTAGGTATACCTGCAAAAATACAGAAGAGTTATAACGAAACATATTTAGACTGGTTGTAACAAAACCAAATTTATCAATGAAAATTTGCTATTTCATTTCGGTTTCATCTGCTCTAAATCAAACCAAACTTAAGTGATGAAACATGGACAGTTGAGGAATCAGAATGTCAGCATCTAAAATAAACTAACCCTAAACTTGTTAGTCATGATGTGAGCTTATAAAGCAACATCTCCTTAAGGACTGGAAATTGTATAACATATTTTGTAGGATCTGCTGCCCTCAGGTGGTTAAAGTCAGACCCCACAGCTGAATATTTAGAATCAAGCTTCTCTGTCCAACCAGTTCGTCTCTGATGAGGAAAACAAAAAGCAGAGGAAAAACTCTAAGATTAATATTTTACATTTACTGTTTACATTTAACTGTCAGTTGTGACATTAAAGAATCCCTCATTATGTTTAACACTACTAACTTCAACGTGTTATCCTTGGCATAATATTTGATTATGGAACATTCTTACACTAGCTGTTGCTTTACTTTACATCAAATTTAAGCTTCTGATTTGTTTTCTTTTGTCTTGCACATCACAAGTAATACTGTACCTACAAATCTGGTACCAGTAGACTGAGACTTGAACGCGGCAGCGATATCCTCAACACTTGTTCCTAGAATATGTCAGAATACTTAATAAGTATTCCATTACACAGAAGTTGAACGTACTACGACAGCTGCTATGAGTGCAACATTATCTACTGTATCCTTTCCCATGTCAGCACCTTCCTAGAGGGAGGATGTCAGTATTGATGACACCAATTCACAAACATATCAAGTTATCTTTTCCTAAATGTGTGGCCGTGGCTCAGGCAGTAGGCTGATTACATGCAAAGTTGGTGGTTTGATCCTTAAATGCCAGGCCTTTCTCCATGCCACTTTGCATGGCAGCTCTACTACAATTAGTGTGTGAAAGGGTGAATGTGAAAGACTGTAAAGCACTTTCAGGACCACTGAAACGTGTCATAATTAACCATCTTGATGACAAGTTCAACACTAAATACAGTCGTCCTCAAATTTATTCATACTCTACCATTAAAGAAGGAAAAAAACAGCTGTCACTGAAATAAGTTGAAATTGACAAAAGTAATAATAAATAATTTTTTAATGAAAATCATGACATTGCTTTTGAATTGTGGTTCAACAGAATTATTTTTTTTTAAAACCAACAAAACAAAAAAAAACAAGCATGATAGAACCTGTAAACTAATACTTTGTTGAACAACCCTTTGAGCCAATCACTGCAATCAAGTGTTTTCTGTAACTCTAAAACAGACTTCTGCACCTGTTGACAGGTATTTGGATTTTGGCCCACTGCTCATCAGCAAAGTGCTCTAATTTGTCCAGAACAGTATTATCCGTTTTGTTTTTGTTTGTCTTTTTAAATTCTAACTCTTTTCAACCACAATTCAACAGCAACGTCTTCTTTCACTAAATTATAATTTAGCAAATTTTGATTTATTATTACTTTTTTCAGTTTCTAGTTATTTAGTTATTTTGCCTTTTATATATTGGGAGGATATGAATACATTTGAGGACGACTGTACGTCTTAACTTATTTGATGCCTCTGGCTGAAATCCAAAGACACAACTTACAATAGACTGTGGCAGCACACTGTATGTAATATGATTTTGTTTGACAGATTTTTTTTTGTCCACATTTATAAAATGTATCAAACAATAAAAGTCAGTGTTTTATTCAGGTATAAAATTTAATATGTCATAAACAACTTGACCAGACTTTCGACAAAATTTAGTTAGCTGTATGTTTCAAAATGTTCACTGAAGGGTTCAGTGAACGGCAGCTAACACTACTTCTGTAAAAAAAAAAAAAAAGAAACCAAACATGTTAAACCATGTTAAATCGCTCATATTATTTAAAATGTAATAAAAAGAAAACTTGGGTATATAAAGAAAAAAAACCCTAGCAAATCCAGCTAATTAATCACAAAATACAAACAAAAATGAGCTTTTACCACATTACATCTATTAGTATCAAACTCTAAATCTTTTTCTCGAAAATATACAGTAAGACCAAAGCGCCTTTTTGCTTTGCTTGCTTGGTAAAGCTCTATACAAAGTGCACTGTTATTTTTATTGATGTCCCTGGAGTGTAATGCTAGTAAACTCTGAGTTAAGATCTGGAGGAGTTTTAGTGGTTTTGGCAGTCCTTGTGATACTTGGTCAAGCTAAAGTCCCTCCACGTGTCTGCAATAAGAATAATAAAAAAGAATTACTCAGTTTGTCATTCGCAACCACAAAATGCAGGATGTATTAAAACACAACACAACCTACAGTAAGGGTTAGGTTATTTACTTGTTCTAAATGAGTCAAGTGAGATGAATTTGGTTACAGTGTATTTTTGCATCATTTTCATGAGTCTGTATTTGCTTGCCAGCTGCAAAGACACAGTTTACACCACACTGGTAGGACTTCAAACACTGTTCAACTCACCATGGGCTTCATCTCCCGGCTATCTCCATCCTTTGGCTTGTGAAATCCCATTTTCTTACTGTTCTCGACAAATTCCTGGGAAGGAAAGCAGAGTTAGAGAAAAGATATTTAACTCTCAATTTACTTAAATATGCTTCTTGTAAAAACGTGAAGAGAACAAAAGCATTTTGACAAAGAAAAAATTGGGACTTATGTGTCTTTCTGCTGTGCCCTAGATTAGAAATATGGTTATTTTTTAAATTCATTTATGATAGTAAATGGGCAACAGTCAAACCACTCAGTCACAAAAATAAAAACAAGAGCTCTAATAATGTCAAAAAGGAACAATCGCCCCTATATAAAGGATTATCTCCTCTCACCATTAAGGCCTTGTCCATGTAGTACTCTCGTCCAGGGCTGCCGTCATTATGCTTCGTGTCAATAGCAAAGCAGAGGAAGAGAACGTCGACCACATTCTCAAACACAGAGAGGAAGCAGTGGGCCACCAGGAAGGCAAACAGACAGGCGATGAGGAGAGGCAGCACCCACACAGTGTAGTCTCTCTGGTAGTTCAGAGCCAGAATACCAGCAAATGCTGTACAGGAGACTACAAGAATCTGAGGGGGTAGACGTAAAGGCTGGTTAGAGAACCTGAAATCCCTGTGGGAGGCCACATTAAAAAAAAAAAGAAAGAAAAAAAAAAGTCAACAATAACATTTTTCTCAACCACTTGGGGGCAGCACAAGCAGGTTGTGAATAAAATGTTGACATACAGTATCACCAACTTTCAAGTTGACATGACGACCTTGCTACAAACAGAAATATTAACATTGTTAATGTAAAAAAGTTGGTCTTTCAGGTCACTTTGGCTGATTATCTTACATTAAATACTTAACAAGTGTTTCAATACCTTTCCCAAGAAGAGGACAAAGTCGCCCACAGTGTTAATGGCAGCCACTCGGAGCGCGTTCTCCACCAAAATAATAAAAGCGTCACGAGCCGAGGTGCAGAAACTGGTGCTGTTGATGGCTGTTGCAGTATAAGCATTCTGAAATAATTCGACATGGAAATGTACAGTGTGAACACATGAGATTAAATGCCTGGGCAAACTCAGTATAGCAGCTGATATCCACAGGAATACAGTGGCGAAACAGTGGCGCAGCCTTACTGCAAATGTTAGAAAGATGAAAAACAAAGATTAATTTATTTATAATCAACAGCTACTGAAGCAGAAACTATGAACTGTGGCATGGGACATGGGATCTTGTATTCACTGAGGACATGTTACCAGCAGGAGATTACTTACTTGATTCAAGTATGCCAAACACTTCTCAAGACACCACAGACAGCAGACGCAGGCTTTCAGCATGCATCGAGCACAGGCATTTTCCTATTGAAAAAACAAAGAAATTTAACAAAAGTTAAACAACCTCAATAACTTTCATAAATACACACAAAAAAAGCCAAAAATGGCCGCTTTCATCAATAATTTTATTGCTCACCTTTCCTTTGAGCTGGCTGTGGATGTAAGTCAGGATGAGACGAGGGATCTTAACAAGCGTGATGATGAAGGAGCCTTTGGCCAAAGTACCCAGGTGGTAGCGGATGGTGCGTGCCATGGAAGACAGGATGGGTGTTGCTGGCAACTGGGATTTATTCCTGAAGACGTAATTGGCATAAAACAACGGAAAAATAAATAGCCACGACAGTAAATGTAACATTATGTGATAAAACACAAGTGTATTTATTTATACCTTGTGAAATAGTAGGTGACCACAGCTCCAGCAATGGTCATCTGCTGGAAGGCAAGAATGAACTCACTGATCCAGATGAGGCCCACCGCGTGATACCACACCAAGTACTGAGGAGGCCCTTGCATTTGATATTCAACCACATTTGTAGAATTGTTTTTTATCGGCGTCCCTGTGAGGAAATACGAACATGAATTTAGATTGTATGTTTTTTGTTGTTTCAGCATTTTACAAGAAGAAAATCAAACCTTTGCATCTGAGGTACAATCTGTCCGTTCAAACTGTCTGCAAATGAACTGATTTTAAAATGCTGCTGTTGGTTTATAGAGCAATGCTACATTAAGAACCATCATGACCTCTCTTTTTCTCTCTCTACTTTCTGTCCTCAAAGTAAAAACACAGTACAGAGAGGGAGCTTTTCATTTTTTTTACGTACCACACATCTGATACAAAGTCCCAGAAAACAACAGGTCTGTGGCAGCTCTCAGTTTTTTTTAAATCAAGGCTCAAGACTTTTCTGTTTGCATTTGCCTTCCACTGAACCAAATCTCAGGCTTTTAAATATCCTAAACTGCACTGAAACTTTTACTTTGTGTTTTACCTTACTTTTTATTCTCTATTTAACCTCTTTAATTGTGCTCAAATGTCATTTTTACATGGCTTTATGGTTCTTAACACTTTGTCTTGATGTTTTTATGTTTCAGTAAAGAACTTTGAATTTTCAAAATGTGCTAGACAAATAAACTCAGGCCAAGGTACACCACTCCGCACTTTCTTATTGTTTTTGCACATCATATCTGAAAACAATCTCAAAAACTGCACCTGTGTTGTGTAACATATCATTTTTTTCAGAGCAACAGAAATATTTCCCAAGTATAATGACATGAAATTGAAATAATGCAATTCAACCAATCTAACCAACACTCACGTTGTGGTGTGTTGTTTTTAATAGAAAGGCATTCTAAAGAGACCATCTTGATTTTTAGCCAAACATCCCCAAAAACAGTGAACATAAATCAAGAAAATGTGACGTACGGCTTCTCTTGTGCACGTCTTTTGTTTTAAATACTACTTAAAAATCAGCTGTAGAAAAGAGAAGTGGGAGATGAAGAGAGAAGTGGTTCTTTGACTCCATTCTTTGCATCACGAGACTGGGACAAGAATCCAAACGTGGGAGTTTAGTCACGCCACAAAACCACGGCAAAATGTCAAAGGAGCCAACTTAATATTCGACTCATTTTGGAATGGTACCACAGACACATCTGACAAAAGCATTGTGAATACGGATAAATACCCACATAAACAAACTAGCAATTCCTGGATCTCTCCATAATACTTCCTCCTCACCTGTAGTCCCAAGGAAGAGCAGCACAGCGATCCAGTAGACCCAGAAGAGCATGAGGCAGAGGAAGGTCCAGAAAGGCTGCAGGGCCAGCAGGGGAAGATGGATGAAGACTTTCCCCGCCACATGGAACAGAGAGATGGTGAGAGCCACACGCTTCCTCATGAAGAACATCACCAGCAGCAGTATTACCTGCAAGATTACGCAATACGTTTTTATTATTATTTTACAGTCATTCTATGAAGTGGCTCAGTTTGATTGTTAACGTCAAATATTTTGTGTCACACAAACACAAAAACAATCCCCAGCTTCCCACCTGTGTCAAAAATCCTACAGGTTTTTTTCTTTTATGTTCTTGAATTACTGCATTTGTAAAACAGTGGTAAAGGTTCTAGTGTGTGAAACCCCCCAAAAATATAAAACATAAACTCTTTCCATGTACAAAACCACAAGCACATGCAGCACTAGAACATAAAGACATACCGTGAAAATTGTAGCACCAATTGAACACACAAGCAGGGCCTTAACATTGTCTGAAGCCACTTCTTTTCCAAATACTGACACAGTGTTACTGTTCAGGGCATTCCTGTGGTCCACGTAGAGCCACCACAGGACACCTGTCCCACCTGCAACAGATCACATCCATGTGCACTGGGTCAGCAGAAAAACAATGAATGTAAATTAATTGCAAAAACACAACATACTGTTGTCTTGTGTCGGTATGATGTAATTAAGACTGCCCTTATAAAACAAGTTACCTATAGAGCCGATGACTACTAGAACTGTTAGAATCCACACCAGCACTCTGGAGATGTAACGAATAACAACCATCATGATCAAGGAGAGAACTGCATCAGAGAAAAAACACAGAGTACCACAAGGTTAAACCAAACACTACTTAGGTGGGAAAAATTCAATGAAGTTGTTCATAACATTTTATTTTTCTTTATGGATAGATAGAACTCAGCTTACAGTATCCGCAACATAAAATAGAACTAAAAGCACTCTGAAAGACATTGAAACACTTGTTTAAGTCTCTGCTTAACCAGCACTAGATGAAAGTGTGGATGGCAAAAGCACGAAATCCCATAAAGAAAAGACTATCCAGCTATGAATCACATAGCCTGTACAATCCCAACACTCAAAGCAGGCGGATCAAATAATTGAGATGAAAGATGTCTAAAGCTGACATGGGATAAGTTTTGTCTCTTTTGCGATACCAGTGGGAGGAGTTGGAGCAGACCTTAAATTAACGCCTGTGGGTGAAACTTCACTGGATATAAAGGCTGTAACCGCTTAGACATTTCCTGTTTTTTTTAAATGACAAAAATAGCTTCCCTTCCGACAATTTCCTTCCTACAGAATCCTCATGAGCAATTACAGTTGTGCAGTGGGGCTGTTGAAATCACACAAATACACCAGCAGGTTTCCTTTGGATAATCACCTAAAACAGCCTAAGCTATAATGAAAGCTTAATGTAACCATGTGTTATACCTAAAGCCAGCAGACAGAGGCCCATGATGATCTCCTTGCTGGCCATCACCCCCGCGAGGACTCGCCGCAACACATCATTGTCACTGACAAATGAGATGAATGCCTGGGCAAACTCAGTATAGCAGCTGATATCCACAGGAATACAGCGGCGAAACAGTGGCACAGCCTTACTGCAAATGTTAGAAAGATGAAGAACACAGATTAATTTATTTATAATCAACAGCTGCTGAAGCAGAAAACTATGAACTGTATCTGTAAGATTTTGTTTTGTAATTGACCTGAATGACCTAATTGACTGTAAAATTATTGTAAACTAATTAAATGATGAAAATGCTAAAAAAGACATTACTTTACCCCATAAACATCACTTACTCACATCAGCTTCACTTAATCCTCAACAAGCCCTTAGTGGATGTGCCCCCCAACAATGATGCCGTTTAAAACTAGGGACAACTAAGGAATGTTTACATTTTATAAATTAAAAGGATAGAATTAATTACCTTGGTTTAACAGGAAGTTTTGGACACTTAGTGTGTCTTTCTGAACTGTGTGTGTATTTTGTCGTAGGAATATCATAGGAGCAAAGATGAGAGCCTAAAACACAGAAACCAAAGTTAAGATTAAAAACGTAATTAAAACACTTTGAATTTCCTCTAAAACAGTTCTCCTTGGGTTTTTCTCACCATTATTTAGAGCAAACTGCTTTAAATCGTTGTATGTCGTCAGTTCAGCAGATGGACATTTGAAGACACACAGGGCGATGGACTTGATCTTTCTGTTAATGAAGTCAAGGTTGCATGGGTCTAGAAAGAAAACGAACCTAGAGGAAAAATGTAACTTTTTAGTATTAGGTACTGCCACACTTTGCTTCAAAGAAAGAAACACCTTCACTTTGATGAAAGTATCAGTGTGTTTGGTTATTGCTATGCCAGCTGGGACTGTTCTGTTTGGGCAGAAAATGAAAGTTGGTGACATTTGCTAGCCCATCAGACAAATCCTTCTTTGTAGCAGAAACGCCTTTTATTCAAAGCCTCCATGGGCAATCAGCCCATCAATAAAGCATGACCCATTGTTTCAGCAAAACTGGGCCTGCAGGCTGCATGCTGACGAAAAGCCCAGAAGGAGGAATATCATCAAAGACTTCAAAAACAAACAATAAAAACATCCCATTAACTTAGACTTTCTTCATGTGAATTATAGAAAAGGAGATATGCTAATAAGCTATGCTATTCATCCAGGAATATGACAAGTTTAGGCAGCAGACTGCAGTGCAACCAAGGGTCAGCGTAGCTGGAAAAACTGAACACGATGTAAATAAACTCCTATGCTACATGTTAAGGCATTTGCAATGAATACGACTAACTTGTTTTCAGTCATGTCCCGGCCACTGAGGGGTACCCCGTCGATCTTGGTGTTATTTTTACCACAGGTGTTGCCGTAACTATCATATCCTGAGATAAGCCTGGAGGCACCTCCTGTGGCGATGGGATAGCCACAAATACATGCCTGCAGATGACACAGGTCAGAGAAGATGATATTAAGTATTGACAGCATGACATAACACAAAAACATTTAGTATATTATAAGGCAGATGACAACATGCACGCAGCTTAAATATTGCTATTGCTGACAAAATGTAAAATCATAACATGATTTTTAATTTGTCACATTTAAGAACTGATATGTTTATACCTTCTGGTCCAGTTTGTTTGATGCACCCACAGTAGCTAAAACTAATGCCTGGCTACGATAAACCCCACCTTCACGAGCTACATGAATAACTTTACAGTTGTTGTTGTTGTGGGTGCTGTTGTAACATATTGTGGTACACTGACGTCCGTCACATTTATGTCTTTATGGGCTGACTGAATGTTAAAAACATGTCTCAGTATAATGCAACACTGTTGAACAACACCACAAACCACAGGCTTGAAAAATGACCACAACACTTAATCAATCAATCATCTAAGAGTTGCAACCAAACCTGGATTTATTGCAGGGCTGCTATGCAAAGTTTAGTAACTGTTTTCATTAATGGACCACTTCAATGATCTGCAAAACATCATCTGGCCAGAATAACATGCAGGAATGCAATAAACAGACATGCAAAAATACACTCAAGTTAAACTGAATATAGTCCAACAACAGTCTTGCAGTAAATCCTACTAATAAATGTTATTGTTGTACTGTTGAACTGTATTGTGTCTGCGCAAAAAAGTCACTTAACAACTTTCATAAAGGTCGGACTGAATGCAGGGGTGATGCATTAGTCTGCATGAGCTTCAGCTCTGCTCAATTCATGCTCTGATTCAACTGAAGACTTACCATCCCGATGCAGAACAGTATAAATACGATGAGCCATGGGATATCCGTGCAGCTACGCTCCTCCAGCGGTTTCCAGTCACGTTTGCCCTGCCAAGGCATAAATAACAGAGAGCAGCGGTTATCTTTGACTCTGTTTTCGGTTGAAGACTCTCTCAAGTAGCTTCACTGCGGCTCCAAAAACAGCAAACTGACGACTGCGTTGTTGCCGTAAAACAAAGAGCTGTTAACTGCTGTGACGCTAACGCTGCACACGACATGTAAACATCCTCTCTGGTTTGTCACACTTTAGAGAAAGTAGCCGTCAGATTTAGCCATTTTGTTGTTAGCTAACTTACCTCTGTGCTGCCACAACAACCCATAGCGACCTGCGAGGACTCAGCTTCAACAAAAACTAAACTTTAAATTCCGGGAAAGTTTTTGTTTTTTTAGTTTCTTCTGCTCATTTCTCTTTCTCTTTCCCTCTCTTTCTTTCTACAAGCACGACAACAGCACAAACAAATTGGTGTCAATGGCAGACGCCCATTAGGAAAGTCCTGAGAGCTTCAGGTAAACGCGGAAGGAGTCAACTTTCTTAAAGGCTGCGTTCACGGACCGTCAGAAATACCCCAATGTCAAGAGAAAAAACAAAAAAAAAGTCATAACATGCCAAAAAACTGAGCAAATATCCTTATGTCTGTTCTGTTCTGTGCCCCACAATATAGCAAATACAAGTATTGTTATTATTATTATTATTATTTACCTTTAAATAGCTTTAAACTCTTAAGACCTGAGCTCTTGTTTGATATGCATTTTTCTTTTTGCTATTTGATCAGATCAATTTGATCAGATTTTTAATTTTTTTATTCGCTTTCTCTAAAAAATATAAAGAAAATTTAAATATATATATATATATATATACACACATACACACACACAGTATGTCATGAGCTGTGTCCCAATTCAGGCACTGCATCTCCCAAAGGACTCAGCCTACAAAGGCCACACTTTTGAAAAACACAAAGGTTTTGGTGTACTATTCCTGTCGCCAAGCAGCTAAAGTTGACAGTCATGACAAAAATCGAGACACAATCTTTTTAAAGGAAAGGAAATTCAGGCTTTTTTTGGTTTATCACATCCTAGAGAAAATGGTGATGACTTATATTTGAAAGGGTAATCGCTGATTGCCAAAGTTCCACTTGCAGACACCGTCATATTCTCAGAAATCTACACCGGCTCATAATGAATCTTTGGATAGGTTAGGCCACAAAGGATTCATATTTACTGGATGTGTCACGTTTGAAGGAGCCTTGGGAAGATCTTTGTCACGGCACTCAGTCTTTGAATGCAGCCATAGAAAGATGCAGAAAGATGCAGCTCCTTATTTTGGCCACAGTTACGGTGTCTTACCATAGCATGCGCTTGAGTAAAAAGCTTGAGCCTCTGAGAGCACCCAATTAATTCATTTAACCCTGCAGACTGTAATATTAGATAAGCAAAGTTGTATGTGGTGGAATAGAGGGACAGGGAGTGCACTAATAATGCATCTGTATGGGAACAGCAGTTACAGAGAAATGTTTCTGGTAAAAATTCTGCCAGAAAAATAGGAATTACTGGTTGTAACCACTGTTGGTTGTGTACGGTGGCCAGAAAAGGGGCCAGATTTCTCTCTATGTTACCTGTGGCTACCCTGGGTAACTTGTTGGCTCTGCCCCGAGTAGTACTGAGCATTCCCAGTTCCTAATACTCTTATTTCTGCAGGCCAGTCTGGCTACTTTTCTCTGACTAATACTTTTGCCTAATCATAATAACACTTCATTCTTGGGAAAAACTGACCAAAGAAGATAAAAATGTCACAGACTTCTGAAAGTAACACATTCATAACGTTCTCCTGAGAAATATATGGGTCATTCCACCTCAATTCACCAAATTTAAAAAAAAAAAAAAAAACAGTTCAGGCCTGAACATTTCATACTTTGTAATGTCATACTTTGTTGCAATGTTTTTAAATTGTGTAATGTTTTTAAATACTATGTTGTTTTTAAATGCTGGAAAGCACTTTGTGTTGTTGTAGTACATGAAAAGTGCTATATAAATAAAATCTGATTTGATTTGATTTGATACTTGTCACATTTTTTTTCTATGCATTCATATATTATTATATAAGTAAAATGTGGAAAAGTTTTGATCACAGGTGTAACTTTTTGAGTAAAGAAATTATAAAGTGTTGTTGAGTCATGATGATTTTTGCATCATTTTCTTTGCGCCAGTAGCACAATGTTTGAAGATGTTTGAACAAACCAGTTACATGATGGTGCAAATTTGGTCAAAAATATCAATGTTTCTGTCTACTCCAATATTCTACCTACCATGCAACCTTTATTTTTCACCCTAATAAACAGATGCCCCCCCATGTGATTAGCACCAGTAGGAGCTTTAAAATACGTAGAGTATGGTGCCAGTCAGTGGCAAAACATATTGAAATTAAAGCCACAAGCGGCGATGGACGGGTCCTCGCCCTACGCTTGTCAGCCGTTGCGCA